TTTAGTGGCTGACCAGGATTATAGTAACTGTGCACTTAAACATTGTTTCCATTCAGTTAACACTGCATTTTCTGTAAGTGGMGGTGAATTTGTCAAATACATGAAGAAGCTGCAACGTCTCATGCAAAGGAGAAGTTATTTGTGATCAGATTAATGTTTTAAGTAGCAGTCAGTATGGATTTAGAGCCAATAACTTCTTCAATGGCTCTCATGGAACTGACAGAACAAATAAATGCTGTTGATCAAAAACAATATTGAGCCAGTATTTTTTTTTTTTTTTTGTTTAAAGGGGCAATATCATGTAAAATCAACTGAGTTTTATATCATGTTAAAATGTTATACTCTCATAAAAAACATGCCCAAAGCCTTGCTGTGAATTTCTGCATAGTTTTTGTTAATTGACAGCCCCCCCCCCCCCACACACACACACACACACACTTTTTTTTTGTACATTAAAAAGCCTTGGTATGAGGACACATTTGACTCTTCATTATTGAGTTTCACTGTTTTTTTTTCTTTATCCAGTATAAAGTTTAATAATGTGTTTTTGCACAAAACTACCTTTAGTTTGTCCATTTGAAAAGCAAAAATGTTAAGTGCAATATGGAGCAAAACACAGTAAAAAAGCAGGACTAGGTAACCTGTATAGAGGTATTAAGATACAGTAAAGTGTTTGTCCGAAAAGGTGACGTACTTCAGTCCTCCAGCCGCCAGGGGCGCTGTAAGGAGGAGCRTGAAATGGAAAACCTGTCAAAGGTTTGAAGGTAGTTGGTTATCTCTATCATACTGTATATTTTAATTATCTAACTCTTAAAATGAGTAGCTCTGGTCGCTTCATGTATTTTGCATTTGGGAGTAACTTGTTAAAGGAGAGATTACAGCTGGCGAATCCATCGGCTACGTTCTTCTCTACCGGTCGATTAAAGGTTTGTACCAATATAAACCAGGTAAATACGTCGATTCATTTCTGATGCGTACTAAATAAAATATAATAAGCATTGTCAATTTTTTTGTCCAAAGGTTTTTCTTGGTTTATTATGTAGACTGGATGCCACTTACAGTTGTACCCAAAAAAGTGCCCACATCGCTGAATCGATGTTCGTTTTTTTTTTTTTTTTTTTTYGTTCTTTGAGTAGGAATTAAGTGTCAAATTAGGTCCTGGTCTAGTGTATCGAGTCATAAAATTAATCTGAAACGTGCCTTTTATGGCTACCAAAAACTTCTATTTTTCTCCACTTTTGATTTTGAACAAAAATACTTMCGCTTTAATTTACAGGTGGTACATTTTTCGGCACACCACCGGCATGGCGACATGACTGCACAGAACATTCCGTCCTGATGCTCCCTCCGGCCGCGATAAACCATGAAATTCGCACAACACCGGCAATTTTTATTACTGCCTGCCGCAGATGGGTGGAAGCAATAAAGTTTTACCATTTGTCGTGTTAGCAAAAAAAAAAAAAAAGCAGTGATTCACATCTGATTACGTTTTGGTGACAAGTTCATTTATAATGGCCAACATAGCTATACCCTTTGTGAAATCTACAGATGTTGAGCTAAAGTTTGATGTGGTAGTAGCTGAGACTCATCCTCAACATATAGGAGTGCGAATGTCACCAGATTTGACCAAAGACAGGTGTAACAAATTCCTGTCTTTGTCACATCTACAAAACTTGCTTAGTCATGCTTTCTCTCTGGTGTTAGAGGATGACAGCTGTAATAACACAGCCAGCTCTGTGGTCTGATTGTACTGTTATTACCAAATATAAACAGGGTCTCCTGCTGAAATCAGAAAYATAACCCCCACCCCCTCATATCACAGTACTGGCCCCTTCACTTCACCCATCACTTTATTGTGTTCACAGGACTATAGACTGAACTTTGGCTTGTGTGGCAAAAACGTGGTAACTGCATGGCACGGTGGAGTGGCCACCATTGAATTCTGTCCTGGCTCAGAGGTGTGGGGGGTAATCTGGAGTTTGAGCTTTGATGACTTCTACAGCTTAGACGAGTGAGATGCACACACACACACACACACACGTAAATCAGTGTATCAACAGATGAGTGTAACTTTAACCTGTGTTCATTGTCTTCTAGGCAGGAAGGTGTGAGCAGAGGAAAATACTCTCCACTGGAGGTCTCTGTGGAAATGGATAAAGGCACTATTATCTGCAGGACTTATCAGATGAACAATTTCCTCACCTGTCTGACCTCTCCTCAATACAAACAGGTGTCAGCTTATCAACCACGCTTTATTCACAACAAAACACTAAACATATCAATGGTTTAAACTAAGAAATTGTAAATTTTTGGAAAAAGATTTTGATTTTGAAAGCTACATTTGTCAATCATGCATCATTTTTTTTTTACATTTTACACATCTTAAATATGTCTAAATTAGGGTTGTATGAATCACAAACTTTCAACTAAACCAGTATTTTGTAACAACTGTTTACTCGTGTGTCTGTCTTTGTGTTTTTCAAAATAAAGGTGATGTGCATGGGCGCAGAGCAGAACGGGCTCCCAAAGGAGTACCTGAGGAAGCTGGAGGCCCTTCAAACCAACAACTACAGTGGGCCGACGGTCCTTGATCAAATCAAGACGGCCATGAAGCAGAGAGTGAAGAGTTGATGACATCAGATATTAACAATTATGGACTGGTCGTTTTAAGAAAACGAAATGAAGTGGCCCACGTTGACCAGGTAGGCTGGGTCCTTCGAAGGACGCAGCCCCTRAATTTAGGCACAATCCTTAAGCATTAGTATCAATGCTTAACTGAAGATATTTTATTGCACACACAACTGGAACTGAAAACCTGGAGTTTCCCTGCTTATGTAAATATACTGAGTTTATGATGGCACTTATGAGATGTTTGGCTGGGTCCAAAATAATAAAAAATTACATATTTATGTCAGACAAGAAATTTCCTCTTTACACTGAAAGCTATGAAATATATTTTATTGTACTGCCTTGGTTATGTAGCATTCTAGTTACCCAGGAAATAAATGTGCTTGGATTGATATGGAAAATAAAAAATATAAACTTTTAATGAAAAATAAAGATGAAAATGATTATGAGGAAACTACTATTTGTTTACAGCACAGTGGCCTTGAACAGAGTGATGTTTTATTTATTTTTATTTACCTAAACCCACATACTTTCAGGAATTATAGAAAATACTAGTACAAAAAAGGGGTGACGAACACAGGATACCTAAAAACAAGTCATGATGCATCTCTATAGGTATTTCCACAAGCCTATGCAAATACGTAGACTTCACAATGGCACAAATTGTAACTCGTTATTTAAAAAAAAAAAAAGACCATATCATTAAAAAAAAAGTTTAACTGTAGGAATATAACGCATTCTGAAAAATTTGGTCTTGAAGATGGTGAGAAGAGAAAACTTGTATCATCTCAAAGTAAAACTGATGCAAATTGTGTCAAACAAACAAAACAGGACAGGAAGAAGCAGCAGTTGTGCTCGATAGAAACAGGTTCAATGTCATAAGGCAAAGATTGCTTTAAAATAAACAATTTGGTGTTGGGGTGAAAAGAAATACCGTGAATAACTGAACACATTAGGCAAAAAACAAGAGAGAAAAAGTCAACTTAAGAGGGGAAACCGTACTTTGGTTGGAAACGACGGCCACAGTTGAATGACATACAGAGTCCAGCTACACATTTAGCAACATGGCATGTGGAAATTAGAAAAATTACTAGTGACGATGACATACAGAAGAGCCAGTCAGGAGGCTACATCAACACACTGCCCTTAGTTACAGGAGAACGTGTATTTTAGGATCTGCATGTCTACCTGTAAAGCTTTTCTCTGAACGTCAGCCCAAAGCCATCCTTAATTAACAGGGTTATTTAATTTGAAATTCAAACTTCTGTGATTTTCTGTTTTCAAGTCTTTATTTCTAAACACTGATCAGCTCATTCCATCGGCTGCACCTGCTCTTCCTCTGGAACCTTCTCAGCTTCACTTACATCCATCGGTTCTGGTTCGTCCTCAGTGGTTCCGGTCGGCTCTGCTGAGTCAGTAGTCGGTGCTGGCGGCGTCTCCTCCTCGTCATCCTCCTGCGACGGCGGTAACTGCGGCTCTGGGATAAGGAGGTTGTGCTTCACTTTGCACAGCTCAGTCATGTTGAAGCCCAGCAGGATGGCGGCCCTGTTCTTCTTCAGACTCTTCATGCACTTGCTGCGCTTCTTGCTGAAATGTCCCGCCACATCCCCTTTGTTTGCCGACAGCCTCCGTGCCAGCTCTTCGGTCTCTGCTTTGCTCGCGTACGGATTTTTGTTGAAGTACTTGGACAGGAAATCTCGTCGCTCATCGCTGCTGCGTCGCTCCGCAGGGGTTGGCTCCAACATGAGTTTCACGTTGGGGTCGCTTTTTGCCGCCGCCTCCAGCTGGAGCTGCTTCTCCTGCTGCTGCTGCTTCTCCTGCAGCAGCTTCTCCTGCAGCAGCTTCTCTTGCTCACGTTTCTTGCGCCGGGCAGCCTTTTCCTCTCGCTCTCGCCTGTTGGCTTCCATGGCCTCCTTCAATGCAGCTTCCAGCCTCTTCTTAGACTGAATCTCTGCCTCGGATTCTTTGGGCTGTGCTGGGGGTGGAGCTGCAATCAATCGAGCTGGAGCTAAGGTCTGCGTCATCGTCATTCCTTGTGGCATTTGCAAGAAGTAGAGTCCAGAAGCCTGACTGAGCTGCTGAGCTGGTTTTGGTGGTGTCTGCACCTGCATCACTGGTGTGGGTTTAGGCGGCGGCGGCGGTTGCGGCTTCGGGGGCTTTGGAGAACAACGGCACCTCTGAATGTGGAGTTTCACAGCCTGCTGGGTGACCTTTCCAGTGTACACACCGTTGCAGTATATGCACTTGAAAGCTTCAGTCTGGAGGATGGCGTGAATGGTGGGCGCCACAAAGTGCTTCTGCTTCAAATGCTGCAGGTGATCGGGCAGATTCTGAAACTTCTCACTGCAGAAAGGACAGTAAGAGCTGCTGATTTTAACAGGTGCGGAGCAGATGCCTTGCTGGTTGGTGGGCTGCAGCTTGAAGTAGATCAGTTCGAGGGTATTCGTGACCAAGGCCAGATTGACCTCTTTGTCTCCTATGACCTCTCTCGGTGCAGTTGTGGTCACGTCGATGTAAGGGAACACAATCTCTCCAGTTCCTTTTGAGTACACCCGGTATTTCTGCCTAAGTAAATCACAGTAGGCCTTGCTGGAAGGGTTGTGCTGCTGTACGTGCTCTATAAGCTGTTTGACTGAAAAGAACAAAGCTGCACAGTACAAACAGTTAAGGCCATGTAGCAGGTGTTGGAAGAGAGTCTTTTCCGACAGCAGAATTTTGCACATTAGACATTTGACCGTTTTGTCGGGCATTTTCTTGAGCGCAGCAGCTCGGGCGGCCACGCTTTCCGTTTTGAATGAGGGTTTAGTCGGATGCGCCACCTCCATGTGCATGTCGAAAACATTGGAAGGAAAAAGCTCRTTGCAGAGTGGGCACGTGATCCATTTCTTGGTCTGCGGTGCAGAGTTTCCTTGATCGACGGGCTGGAGGGGAGTGTTCAGCCTCTGAGACACGGGCATTGCTGCTTGCAGCGGAGCGAAAGTGTACGTGGGCATGCCGTTCACCTTGTTCCCAGTTGGGATCAGGTGATTCAGCAGGGACTGTGACGTCAGCATAGTCCCCTGGAGAGTGGTGTGTTTTATTGGCTTGGGCACGGACCCGGATTCCACCTGGGTCTGAAGTCCTGAAGGAAGAAGGATCTGCTGTGATTGCTGCGTTTGCTGGGGCTGAGTCGTAGCCGCAGATAAGGTTACCGGTGCCTGTTTCAGAGACACATTTGATCCAGTGGGAAGCGGGACCACAGATGATCCTTGGGGCAGCGCACTTCGAAGGGCTATTGTGGCACCAGGCTGGAGCAAWCCTTTAGCTTCAGCACTAGCGAGCTGCACTAGCGCTGATGCTTGTGGGGGCAAAAAAGTTTGATTAGTTCCTGGGGTACAAAGCAGAGTTGTACTGTTTGTAGTTCCCTGTGGCTGCACCAGTGGCTGTACAGCAACTACAGCCCCAGAAGGCTGGCCGTTACTTGGTAGAACCAAGGAGCTCTTGGTCAATATTTGAGGTGCCTGTGGTTTTGGAGCAATGCTTGGAAATGAGACGAACAATCCRTTCCCATTCGGAGTTGGGTTTGCGATGTAGTTCTTGTTCTCACTGATCATGCTCTGCACTTGTGTGCTGATGGAGTAGTGTGCTGGCTCAACAAGCATGTGGTGCAACATTTGGTCCAGGGTTCCAGTGTTCACCTTGCACTCCTTGCAGCAGTAGATCCTTACAGAGGAATTGGCTTGTTGGTGCAACCTGTAACCGATATACTGCTCTGCCAAATGTTCCAGATGTTTGAGAATGATGTGCTTCTTCATAGCAAAGATAAAGGAGCATGGATAGCCACATCTTGCACACTGATACCTCTGATTTCCATGATGTATGCGTACAGGACTTGCCTTTTGTACCTGCTGCTGCACTGAAACAGGGACTTTGCCATGAAAGAAAAGCATGTGCTTCTTGACGATCTTGGGATGGGCGATAAAGAGGCACTGAGTGCAGGGCACCAGCGCACAGACTGACTGACCATACATGTGGCAGCGAGAGACGTGGACCCTGAAGTTGTAGATGTTTTTTGAAGAGTACTTGCACATGCTGCAGCACACAGACTGAGACCGATAAGGCCACTAGATAAAAAAATAAATAAATAAAAAGTTAGTTAACAAACTCAAGTACACACTGAAAATAACTCCAGTAATAGGTTGTCAAGCATATTCAGTTGATCATTAATAAACAGGGGAAACACTGAATTTCAATCCACAGCAGGTGAACGACAATAATATGAAATTATTTAACAAACATTTAATCCAGTTTATTGCAAAATATAATCAGGAGAATTTTTTTTAATATTCACCTTCTTTCGCTTTCGGCTACTATATCCATCTGTGACATCGATCCAGTCCGTTTCCTGAAAGGCTTCCTCTTCATCAGAGTTTGGAGAGTTTTCATTGAGATCCTGGATAAAAAACAAACACGCACGCACGCACACACACACACACAAAAAAAAGGTGAGATTTTACAATATAGTTTGCAAGTAAATAATAATATGATAATGAACTGTTGTTGGTGTCTGTTGGATAATGGTAGTATAAATACTGAATACCATGTTTTATTGTTTGTTTTTATTCTAAATAAAACTATTATTAGAAACAAATTGTTGTACGAGACATGAAATTAGTAATACAGTTTTATTAACTTCTGATGTTTTGTTAAAACAAGAAAAAAACACAATTACCTCATTTTTGTTTAACCCATATTAAATAAAGGACCAGAAGAAAAAATACTGATTAATACTGCCAAAMTAGTGACGTGAATTTTCCTCTTATCCATAATTTCCTCCCAAACCGTTGCATCATTTTCTACTTTCACTCCACATTGTTCTTTGTTTTTAATTTTAAGAAATTATGAGGCATGATGGCAAAACATGAAACTGTTGCTGCACATGTTACTCAACCGATTGTTGGTAGATTACCAAAGAGTGAGTGAGTTAGTTGATGACAACAACCTTGTTGAGAGGTCAAGCAGCTAAAGCCTTTCCTCTGCCTACGTCTACCAGAAGGCTGTGTCTATCACAGTATACAGTATATTATTGTTACTGTCTTAACGCTCAGCCCTACCTCAAACACCTTACATGACATGCATCAAGTAAACTGTCCTAAACACTTTTCATGATGGCTTCAAGTGTTTAAAATATGTTTGGCTTAACTGAAAAAGAAAAATTATTTTCTTTGGTAAAATYATGCCAGCAGACGTTTACTGCTATGAGCAAAAAACCTGAAAGAAAATGTTAAAGCCACTACAGCAAGCCCAAATCCAAAGTGGATACCAGCAAAGAAATGGCAAGCCTATTTCACAGAAGTATAATAATTAGAGTGAGTCTTGACCATGTGAATGTGTGATCTCCTGTATAAGCTGCAGGGCTAACCAAAACAGGCTAGAGTCTGAATTTAGCATTACTGTGCATGTTGACAACAAATTGGAAAAAAGGAAAAAGTAATGATGCAGAAATCATAAAAACTATTAATAATAATACATATTAACTTAATTATTATTAATATTTTAGTTAGGGGTCGACCAATACATCGGCTGGCCAATATTTTTAGCCGAAATTTGCATTTTTTCCTTATATCGGTATCGGCCGATACGTCCGTCCATTCGGCCGATCCATTCTTTGTCAAGCGAGTGCATGTTGCCGCCCCTCTCTCGGGGAGAGAGCGGCTCCTAATGTTGTGAGACAGAGTGCTAACAACAATAAGGGTGAGTTATGAACTTTTAATGTGTTTTAACTGTCTAATTTAGCTCTTTCTGCCCTCTGTGTTGGACTATGAGTGATAGAGAGAACAGCTGTGTGTTTAAAGTGTAACTTACCCCAAAATCAACATTTTTTAACAAATAAACTTTCGCGGAYGGGAGCGCCGCCATGTTTTACTTTCACTTTGAAACCGCACTGTCATTAGCTTGTCCACATTTTTCTTTTAAAAGATGCTGGAATTTCTCACAGGAGGCATAGAAGAACACCTCTGTTGTTCTCCCTGCTGGATTAAAATAAAAAGCTCTCGGTCTTTTCTCGCTGTTACGAGCGAAAGCGCTGCCGTCCATGTAAACAACATGTGAACCAGGCAGCTGCTCAGATCACGTTTGCTCTGACMACAKTTTAAAAGTCGTGATGCAGGTTTTCTTCGGTGTACATTTCAAACTGTGATCTAAAGTTAACAGCTGCTTTAAATGCATTTTTTGCCCGGTGGAAAAAAAACGGGCGCAGACTGTGAGCGCTGTGTGTGTGAAGTCCTCACAAAGATAGCAAGATGTATGTGTGTGTCTCTCCTGTTTCTCTGTGTTCCTCTGTTTTCTTTAGGAATGTTGCTGTTTTTGCATCAAAAATGCTGGGATATTAATACATGGTCATTTTATTTCATGTAAAAATATATTAATCTGATTAATATACAAATAAAAGCAGAATATTTAGCACTAGATAAAATAAATCATGAATTCATTT